GTGTGTGAAAATCATGCTGATTAATAATAGTTATTGGGCATATTATAATACATTTGCTGGCCTGTGATTAATTGTGAAGTTTTTCTGGCTAACTTTTCAAATGCATGTGGCTATTAAACAAGAAAGCATTTCAAAAACTGTAATCCATTTGCAATGATATGTGAAGCTAATTTAAATCATGTCCTTAATAGATTGTTTATTGATTAATATGTTCTTGATTAATGAAAACACAGGTGTATGATTTTACCATTACTTTTACTTACATGTATTTATAAACATTTTATCTCAAAAGGAAGTGGAAAAGGCCGGCTTTGGTGTTTCTTTTGCTTTTTATTAGTTTTATATTCAGATAGAAAATGTTTAAAAGAGCTATAAATTTCCTATCCAAAGTGTTACTTTCCTGCTTTATCTTTCAGCAGTTAGAATAGGCTGCTGAACTTTGTGTTGGTCAGGTCAAAGTGCTACTCTGTAGGAGAAAGTCTTGCTATGCAGTTTGAGTAAGAAATAAAAAATATAAAAAAAAAAAAAAAAAAAAAAAATAAAAAAAAAAAAAAAAAAAAAAAAAAGAAATAAAAAATATATATTTTTTGGCTTTTTGAATGTCAGTGTTACACATTCAGGCATATGCAAGCCTAATGGTCTGCTTGTCTGTATCATTTTCTCCTGGAATGACAGCTTAACAGTTTTCCTGGTTGGATCGTGTTAAAATCTTTAAAGGCTACATTCACTAAAACATATGTCCAACGTTCGGGCAGCCAAAACCTGTGCCGTCATCTTAGCGGAGCATAACTTAGCAATTCTGGTATTACCACAGAAATCTTATTGTCAAATCTACATTATAAAAATCCTCAGTTTGGAGTCTATTATTTTGTATTTAAATTGTTTTGGGATGTGCTGAAGTATACTTTTGTCCTATCTTAAAAATGGAGCTTGCTAAGAAAACAATAAAAATAGCTCCGTAAATCACAGGAGGACATATTTAATACAATGAAATTATTTTATAACAGGCTTTTACCTAACTTTTCTTGAGTGTCTACCATAATCTGAGCATCATATTAGGTATCCCGCATAAATAATTTGAAGTAACAGCCATTGGTAATGATGTCTGGGTGGAAGATGGACAATGGGGAAAATGTCACCAAGTGGCTGGACCAGAAGCAAGGCATTGTCTGGGTCCCATCAGAACAGGGGTGTCCTGCTCAGTCAGCCTGTTGTTGGCAAAGTTGTTGTGTATTCTGTATTGACATTTTGATAGTTCCTTTTGTGTGGGGCTGCTGCTGGTGCCCTGGGAACGGAGATGGCTAACTGAAATAGTGAGAAAGTGAGACTCCACGAGAGAAATCCAGGGCCCATCAAGGCTAACTGACTTAGCAGCCACAGGCTGCTTCCCTCCTAGCCTTTCAGAATTGCTTTTTAAAGTTTTCTTGACAAATCTTCTGGAGCTGCTGTAGGAAACAAAGCCCTTTTTGTGGTAGGGGATACAGAGAACAGTTACCCACAGTCCTGGTCTTTAACTGGCTCAGCCTTCTGTAGTGCCATTTGTTGCCTCCAGCTCACTGGTGCTCCATCAGCCCAAGGCTAGAATCCTGGAGCAGGTCTCAGTGGCAAGAAGTTGAAGAAGCAGATACTGGAAAATCCAGCCTTACGTGATCTTTCCTGGCTCTGATAGGTTCAGCTTTTCATATTGAAAAGTTGTTTAAACCCTCTTAAATATGTTTTTCAAGTGGTAGAATAGGTTTATCTCAGAAGAAAACTTGAAACTTTAAAAATTTCTTCTAAAGAAAATGACTTTTAAAGTAGTATTAGTAATTTATATCTTTAGTTATTAGTTAGTAAAAGGCACCATATTAATTTTTACTAAGTACATCAAAATGCTAAATTTGGCTAGCAACATTACCTGGCACTTGTGTATCATTGTGCCTAAATGTATGAAAATCAAATGCCTGTTGAAGTTGACCAAAAACATGTTATTTAATCAGAATATCTAATTGAATCACAAGGAATAGAGTAAAAGTGTCTCTAATTTTCTAGATATGCGATGATCTCATTATCCTAATATTAACAGTGTTAATAATTTCCAAAGGAGTATATAGAAAAGAAACAACCCTCAGAAATTCTGAGAAGTTAAAATTGTGAATGATAAAAAAAAGCACATAGCAAGTTGAATTTAATTATATCTTAACAAAATTTTTGAACTGTATTTATAGACTCAATCATTAATGATGCATGCTAATTCTTTGATGATATGACTGAAAACATAACTGTTACTTCTTAATCTTGGCAATTTTCAGAATTTTTCTGTAACTTTGTTTTACACATTTTAATACTTTTCAGCAAATCAAGATTTGCTTGCTTTTAAGAAGCAAAAACAAAACTTAGGTGCTTTCCAAATTAAACTAAATAATCTAAAATGCTCAGCTCACAGCCTAGCACATAGTAACTTATGTGACAACCAGTTGTTTATGATTATCATTATTTCTGACTCCTCTCTTCTTGCCATACTCTCACTGGTTTATATATTATAATAATTTCTATAAACTTGCAGTGTTATTACTTTTCACTGTGTCTGCCCTTTAGCTCTTGGTGTTTTAGAAATTTCTGGAATTTCTTTCGTAACTGTCAGCTTAACTCCTGATCCAAGAACACACATGTACATAACACACATATGGAGGTGTTGAGGAGCTTCATCTTCTCTGATACTAATAGTTTATTGACCATGTTGTATAAGATCCAAGAGTTTAAGGGTCAAGAGGTGAGTTAGTTATAATCCTGCCATGGAGCTCAGCATGTAGAGACTGGCAGGACAAGACTGGCCCCCTGTGTTTTTAGTGTGCCTATTTGCTGCTGTAGCTTGGGACCTCAGGGTTCCTTGTACTGGAAGCTATTCCTAAAATACCATTTTTAAAAAACGTTGTTAGATTTCTTTGAGGAGATTATGACTACAACACACTGTGTACTTGTAACTTTCAGCATTAATTCAAGGGCTTTACCTGTACTTAATAATGACTTATTGGGAATACTTGCAATAATATAAAAATTCTTTTTACATAAAATCTTTTTCCAGTAATTCCTTTAGTGTCGCTCCTTAGGAGAAACAAGTTTTGAATCCCTCTAGACTATTTACACATGTTGCTTCAGCTATGTTTATTGGTGTCCCAACTGCCATGGTGGTGGTTTTTTGTAAAAATGAGATTATGCTGTTCTGCAGTTTGCTCATTTTATCAATTAATTTACCATAGGCACCTTTCCCTGTCCTCAGACTTTTTCATGGCTGCATAAAACCCAACTGTATTGCTCTGTCTTGGTATGCTTAGCTTTTCTCCTGCTGAAAGACACTCAGGAGGTCTCTGGGTTTCATCGTGTTGCATGAACTCAAAGGATTGGAAGCATTTATCCTGGCTACATCTGTGCTTAGTTTCCCTATTGTATTCTGCAGGCTATCTGTCCTGGTTGCTTATGGGCCTTCAGGGATCATTCTGAGGGTTGTCATTTGATCTTGGATAGGACTCAGTTTAAATAAAAAAAAAAAAAAAAATACCAGTTCCGTTGTATGGGGGTTTAAGGTGACAGTAGCATTTTTATAGAAGTTTCTTATTTCTACCTTCTAGAGACTTAAGATGCATCCTCTAGCTGGGATGGATTTTGGCTATGCCATCCTTGGACACTTATACATTGGTAGACTTTGGGTTTTCAGAGCAATAAGAAAGGGTTGGTTGTTGAATCTGGTTTTTTAAATTGGTAGTCAAGACTTTTTTTAGAGAGTACTTTGAGAACGCATTTTTTTTTTCTTGTGATTGTGGGCTATTTTTGTCTCTGTATATTTCTAACCAGGTGCATTAAAATTTAATTTATGACTTTCATAAATTAATCACAGTGATAAAATCCAAATACTATTATACTAAGGTTAGCATTTCATTGGAGGTGGGAAACGTATTCATTAAGGTGTACATAAAATTTTATATTCTTAAGTCACTATTTACTCCGTAGATACAATAACTTATTTTTATCATGGCTACTGGCCATATCTTGGAGTTTAACATCTGCTACTTTAAGATTTTATACTCTAATTGCTCAGAATGAAGGAAATCTTTTAATTTATATATGTGTATTTGCTCGGAAGATCTTGTATTCACAAAATATTAATGTATAATTTAGGAAAGGTGGTATCAAATTATTAGGCACATAGCAGAGAAATTACCCCGTCTCTTAGGTGACATGTCAATTATTCAACATATTTGAAACAGTAACTTGCTGTTGATTTTAATGTTTTTTACCTTCCAACACAGCTGGCATCCTGCTATGATATTATGAGCTATTCTTTTTGATTTATTAACGTATAAAATATGCCAGTCTGGGTGAACAACCACACTGAGCCAGTAATCCGAGGACATCTTTTTGTTTGTGACATTTTCTATGTTAAAATGGAGTTGTCATTAACCAGATTTTAAAACAGATGAACAAAGACAGTTGTAACCCTTGTACTTCAGTGATTTCTTCCTGCTAGGTTTCCTCGAAAATCTAGTGGCTTGAGCTTTGCCTGCGTTACAGCTTTTATATGCTATTTTTATGTTTTCCTACTCCACAAAACAGTATTTCCTAAGGCTGTTTGTTTATATGCAAATACACCCAAAAATGAGCCAAAAAAAACCACTTTCATTCTTAAGGTAGTATGAAAAAAATAATTTTGAGATAAAAACATGAAATAATTTAGTTTGTAACACAGAAGTATTTTATAATAGAATGCGTTTTAATGACAGAATTATAAATCGCATTTTTCTTTTGTAGTAGAACTATAAACTATATTGAAAAATTTTGTAACTGCAAATATCAAATAACTGTACTGTGAGAGAGTTACAACTTATTTGGCATAAAATTGTATTACTAATTTTTTATTATGTATTGGATTGAAATACCTTGTTTTTATTTCTTAATCAAAACTGCCATCATATACTTGAAGATATGTATTCTCTTCAACATCAGATTTTCCTTTTCTCTTTCAGTCTGTGATCAAGACAGGGCGACTGTTAATCAGTCACGAGGCTCCCTTGACAGGCGGCTTTGCATCGGAGATCAGCTCTACAGTTCAGGTAGAGTAACTTTGGCACTGGTTTTAACATTTGTGCAGTTGCACTTGTCTATTCCAAGAAGAAAGTTCCTTATCACAATATATAAAAGTATGTAGTTTTTGGAAATGCACGTTTTCCATTTGATTCCACGGTCTTTTAGTTAATGGTCTAATTACATCTTCTAGAAAAGAAATCTTGAAGTAATAAAAGCTGAGAATTCCTTTATAAGAAGAAGAAAGTTTGAAACGAGTTTACAAAACTGATGTTAGTTTTGTTTGCTAGTATAACAGGAAGGAAGACTTTTAAATCTGAATGTGGTATTTCTCTTTTGATAAAACTTAAACTTATGCAATAGGTTGATCTTAGATTTTCACAGACTTCACCTTACAGAAAAATGCATCTGTCAAAAGTCAATAATATAAATTCAATATATAATTTCAAAATCAACAAGTGATTTTGTTAGTTTAATTAATAATCATATTATGTTATGCTATTGGCCATGCTTTAGAAATGGTTTAAAACCTTTTTAAAAAACATTCAGTTAAATTGCTGCAAATAAGGAGGAAAAAAATTCCATATACTGCTTTATGAGGGATTTTTGTTTAAAACTTTTCTTTATATTTATACCACAGATAGGAATAAGATGATATAAATGAGTTTCATTTTTCCTAATTTTGTAAATTAAAATTCAATAACTATTTTAAATGTAAAGTATATGCATTTTAAATTCCAAATATCTTTGCAGTTTGCAAACATTTTATTTCTCTTTACTGGTGTTAAGATGATTCTGCTGTTAATATATATGTTGAGAATTCCTTCAAGAGTATATGGTTTAAAAATTTGACATAAAATTATGATATATGAGTAATGATAAGTTTTTATAAGTTGAACTTTTAACCAGTAAACAATGATTTCTACCAATAAATTATCTTTAAGTGCAAATTGACAGCATTGTAAATATTTTAAAATTAGATGAAGCAGATTTAAAGATAAATGTCATTAGACATAATCCATAATTTATATCAAAAAAGTATACTGTAATTTTTATACATTATAGTCACTAAAAAATTAAGGAAATAAAATATTTGAGTTTTGAAGATTTGTTTTTAAAATTTATTAAGTAAAAATCTGAAGCATACTACTTATCATTATATAACATGTGTGCCTGGTATTTATTGTGCATTTTATTCATTGAGTAGCATAATGTAGTAACTTGGTTAAAAAAAAATGGGGGTTATAAGAATAAATCACTCTAAAACCAAGATGCTATTTCAAGTCAGAGACAAAACTGGAAAAATAAACTGGAATTCTCTGATACTTTTTAATATGTAGTCTACTAAATCATTTGAAATGATAGTGACTTGGTAAGAGAACTTTGATCTGATAGCCTTATTCATTCTGTTTGCTGAATGTTGTATTATCTCAAAAATTTTATTTTCATTTAAATGTAAAAAGAAAACAAGTAAAACATAGAAATTATAATACCTCTGGTGAAGACCACTTTCTCTATGCTTAGACTGGATCTCCATAAATTATTAGTAAGCTGCAGTAGAGTGTCACATATTTTTCAGACGGGAAAGGAATTAGAAAGATCTAATTTAGTGTCTATTGGTCTTGAATAGTATGTAGACTTGTATTAACAGAAAAATATCAGGCCTCAAGAATACATTTGTGAATTTCAGTTTGAGGAATACCATATTATGAGTTAAACACAGTAATTACAAAAAGCAAACAGGAACAAGATCATAACCACTGTGTTAAAATCAGATCCTGAAATTATGTGATAATAATTGGTGGTAAAAGTTGTGAATGAGATTAACCAAAATGTAATTATATTTATATCATAACATGAAGACACCAAAATTAAAACAAGACCCCTTGTCACCCTCTCATACTCCCAGAAATATCCCCATAGGTGTTTGCCGGCTACCGTCTGAGAAATCATGACCTAATCTGATCCTATTCCCTTTACACACGAGTTTTTGTTGCCGAGAGTGTGTTTGACTTACCCAGTTCAAAAAGACAGTGGAAGATCTGCAGCTAGGACAGGAGTCTTGAGTAAATGTTGAGTTTGTGCATATGCATTCTTTATTCAAAGTTCCCCCCAGCCCCAAGGGGAAGATAGAAGTTTTAAATTTATTATAAAATGTTCCTTTTCCAGGTTAAAATCATTCAACCAACTAACTATAAAATGAGTTAAGGCAATAATGTAGAGGGATCTGCATTTGAGGTTTTAGGGGATTAGTTGGATTTATTAGTACGAGGATTTTGAAAATAGTGTTTCTGCTTAATTTAGATTTTATTTGCATAAATGTAGAGTATGGAAAATAGATTTTAATAAAATATAATCAACCCGTATCCTCAAATGTTTGCCTATTGTGGCCTATTGTGGCTTTTTTTGTATTGTAAGAGAGGAAAAAAAAAAAAAGACATCTTGAGAGGTTTTTTTTTTTTCCTCCTTTTCGGTAATAATGTTTCCACATAACTCAGAGTAATCTGAAGAATAAAGTCTTCTTTTCAGTAATTGTTTCACGCACATATTCAACTGAGTGCAGTGTCCTATACTGAGCATCTTTTTTTATGGAAAGCCTGTTCCCTGTTAGAAGTGAAACCTACATCGCATTACCAGTGCCTTGGATTGTTTAAACTGAAATTACTTAAGTGAGGTGCAGTTGCTTTTCATCACTTGGAATGATTGATATTTCTATATTTCTTTTTTGTTGTGTAAACTACAATGTAAGGTTTTTTTTTAAAAGACACAACAGGGTTAAGATATTGAAAGCCAATTTTCTGGGACAGCTGGGAAAAGGTACACCGATAACTTATCATTGTCTTGGAAAACAAGTTTGAAATTATGGATGAAAATGATTTATAAATTTTGAGCACTCTTGATTAAAATACTGAGTTATGCTCATTGTTGTATCAATGAATGTAAATTTTAATGCAAAAATAAGCACACACCAAAAAAATCTGCTACACAAGCACTATTTTGTGAAAGATTCCTAGTGGTTCTTCAAAGGGTCATGATTACTCTTACAAAAAACTGTTCTTCATATGACAATATTTTAAGAGAATGATAATTCACAAGAAATCTACCTTTTTAAAATACGTTCAAATCTGAGAACACCATTTTCTGTTTCCTTTAAAGTTTATTACCCATATTAAAGATAAAAAATATTGAAGATAATAAGCACTATAGGGAGTATTCTTCTAAGTTTATAGTTGGTATTTTTAGGTAGCAAAATTATATCATATTATATAAGATTGAGTGTCAGAACATTTTTCTGCTGGGTATAGGAAGTACTGCTGGCATTGCTATTAAATTGGTTTTTTTTTTTTAGTTGTACAGACAAAATATGAAAAGAATGAATATGAAATGTATTCATACTTTATTTATATAACTTTTTATTTTTTATTTATTTTTTTAAAAGCATTTTTTATTTTTTTTAAATTTTTATTTATTTATGATAGTCACAGAGAGAGAGGCAGAGGGAGAAGCAGGCTCCATGCACCGGGAGCCCGACATGGGATTCGATCCCGGGTCTCCAGGATCGCGCCCTGGGCCAAAGGCAGGCGCCAAACCGCTGCACCACCCAGGGATCCCTATATAACTTTTTAATTAATGGCAGATGGCTCTTCCGTCTTACAAGGAGTTCACTGTCCGCATTTTGTTTGTTCATGCCTGTTGCCTCTTTTTCATAAAGCCATTTATTTTATTAAAAAAATACTCATTGTTAACGAAGTAACGTTAAACTCACAGACGTGATTAAACATAACATTTTAAAAACATATTTGTCAATAGCTTCTTCATGAAATTTATATGAATTCTTATAGAAATTAAAACCAATGCATCAAATCTAAGAACTGCTTTTCATTCCTATTGGATTGAATTTGGAAGTTCACTGGGAGGCAGAACAAACCAAGGTCTGGTATATTTGGCTCCCCCTCTAGGGAAGATTTCTTGGTCGGTCATCCAAAGCTTCACTGTCTCTTCCCATCTAATTTTACATTCCCATCTGTTCTCACTTTGGGGGTGAGGGAACTTTTTCCTTCTTTCATTTGACACATACTGAAAGTTGGAGATACGCAGCTTTTAGGGAGTTATGCATTCCATTGGGCACTCTGATTTGTAGAAGAGTGCAAAGAAAACAGAGTTAAGGTAATTCATTGACCTCATCGTGTAGTTTGAGCAAAGATTTTGTTGCTCCAGAAAATTATATAAATTAATTATATGTGATGTTTGTATTCCTCAGTTTTCAGTAACCATAGGTTTTTAAAAAAAGCATTACTGTGCAAAAGAAATGTGTCAACCTCATCCATTTTAGTATTCCTCTAATTAATTGATATTATATGTTCTAGAATGCAATGTTCAAAATAGGCATTAATTATTTAAATGTTAAGGCCAAATAATGTGTGCTATTTTAACAGCCTTAAATAGTATAATTTCTTTAAGCCTTGTAGAGACCAACCTTTTTATTAATTTCTAACACATTCCCATAATGATGAAATAAATCTTGACTCTGATAGGCTTATGATAAAAAAAAAATGTTTTGGTTTTTTTTTTCCTCTGGATTCAATGCTCAATAAGAGTGCCAAAAATTTTAGGGATCGGGGTTGGCTTAAAGGTTTGATTTGCTTTCTTTCTTTCTTTCTTTTTCTTTTTTTTTTTTTTAACACATGGAAGCAATAAGTCTGCAATAAAGAGTCCAACTGGAGAGGATGGTAAGTTTCCATACCATTGTTCCATCCTTTCTGTGCGGTCTCTTTTCCTAGAATAAGGACTCAGAAGTTGTGCATACTGACATATATTTTTAAGGTAATCATATTCTAATACTTTGAGAGGATTTTTATAGGGTTTGCACAAATCACTGAGTAAACGGAAACTTTCATAATTTTCACTTAAAGGAATTTTGCCTTTCTTACCATTTCATGTTAGAAAGGATTATACAGAAGGATTTTTTAAAAATAAACTTCTTATTCCTACCAAATTTACCAACACTCTGCCTAAAAACATCAGTCTG